AAAAGCTTCTTGAACAGACAGGTGCTAATATTCTGAGCCATTGACTCAGTGTCTGATTCATTGACACTGCAGGTATCCTTAATACCCCAAGGAATGAAACCAATGAAGTGTTTAACCATTCTCCTTTTGTTATTTTGGGTAGGCATTATCAAAAGTTATAGTTTTGGAGGGAAAGGGCTTTGTAAGATGACAGCAGCCATTCTTTCAACATAGACAACACAGGGTTGTATTTATTTCACAATATTTATTGGGTACCCATTATGAACTCTTCTATACACTGTACTATGAGCTAGGGGTGCAGCAATGAGTATTATCAGATAGTGTCCGGATCACAAGATGCCCACTGGTTCACAGGAGAGACATCACTAAATAATAACAGAAACATAAAAGAACAACAGTGGTAATTGCCACAAAGAAAAATGTGTTATGTTATGAGGGTGTAGCTTACTTGGTCCACCAAATCTGAGACACTTCCCTGAGAAAGGGTTAGTTAAGCCAAGATTAACAAGATTAACTAAAGGCAGGGTTGGAGTTAATCAGACAAAGGCAGGGTGGGAAAGGGGAAGGTTTGCAAGGGAGGTGGCAACTGGGGGTAAGATGGGTCAGGCAAGGAAAGTTTTTGCAAAGATAAAGATATTTATCTGCAAAATGTTTTACCATTTTTTCCAGACCTGGCACAAATGGCTGTCCAGATCTGGCACAAATGGCTGTCACATAAAGTCATTCAGTGATTGGAGTAAATCATCTTATTTAGCCTATGGATTCTTCACTCTTATGAATTTCCTCCTACATGTAGAGTCACCCTCTGCTTCTTGATCTATTCTGTAACCAAGCAGATGGCTACATAACCTTTACTGTTTTATGAACCCAAATCTGTATTTTAAGAGTCATAAATATTATAGTTAAGCAAGTAAAAATTAAATTTTCATGTTATCTTGCTTGGTTGCTGGACATCTGGTACCAGTAATTTATCTTCTGCGTAAAATTGAAACCTGCTTTATCTTTATACTGGCCTTAAACACGTTGCAAATTATAATTTTACACTGCCATCAGTTTTATTTGGGAGTAATATATATTACAAGGTCATCTGCCTCCTCTTGGCATTTAGCAATTCTCATTCATGATAAAATTCCATTTTCTTTGCTTTGTGGTTCTTCAGAACCCACCCACATTAACTGTCAATGCTGAAATGTTACTTTGAGGATGACTCACACTGTCTCACACAAGATCCTGCTACATTATAGAGAAAATGTTTCATCTCGGTTTCTAGCTCTTTTACATCTAAAGACTGAGAAGAGTTTTGATCTGAACCAGCAGTAAACTTCCCGGTTCATCATTGCCATTAAGTGATGTGCTGGAAATTGCAACCACTGGTTAGAACCGAGTTTGAACCCTGGCCCTGCTAGGATCTGGCAGTGGGTCAGTTACTTTAGACTCTCTTAGCTTCAGTTTTTCTCATCAGGGAAAAAAAAGTGAGGTTCTTATGAAATGATACAAAACGATGTGTGTGAGAGTACTGTGCACATCAAGGGGGTTACTGAGTTTGTATAATTTAATTCGCTTCCCTTCTCCTAAGGAACCAGGGGTTGAAACTCCTGAATGGTGGTCTCAGCTCTGTGAAGGTAGAGACTGCTCTCTGGTACGACCACTGTGTCGGCAATGCTTAGCACCATTTCTGGCCCAGAGTAAGTGTTCAATATATTTTGGTGGAATATTTGAAAGTGAAGAATTTGAAGTTTTAAAGATCTGACCATTTTTGATAGACATAGTGTGGAAAGAGATGATAGAACTCCCTTGGCCGACCCATGCAGTGGAGGAGGCTCAGCTCCTAGGAACCTGCTGTCGTGCGCGTAGATATTTATTTGTTGGCTGTCCAGTATGTGGCCATCTCAGGGGCACTCTCAAGGATGCAGGAAGTTAGAGGGGCAGACATCCCCTCTCCCTGCTTCCTGGTACCCAGAGTACCAACCTGTGCCTTCATTCAGCCAACCAGATACCCCTCCGTGGGGCTTGTAATCCTGGACAGTGATGGACAGTGGCAAGGTGGTCAAAGGGGAGCTCTATCAGCAGAGGCATTCTCAACAGGCCATTCCTATAGGGAACACCAGCTGTGTTTTGGCAGCCTGTCCTCCCTCAACTCCTACACAAGCTTAGATTCCCTAATGTTCTTGTTGCTTCCATAGGTTCTCTACTGGTTTTCCCATAGACTTCCCTTCTGCCAAATCAGCCAAGTTGGTTTCTATTGTCCGCATCCGTGATTCAGATACATTACCCTGGCCTTCATCTCCCAAGGCAGTCAACTCATTAAGCACTGTTTTTATGGATGAATCTCCAAGTTACTTTTGCATGGTTCTCAAAATTTCTTCAAAATATTTTTTTATTATTCTTTGATATCCTTAGCAATTCTACAAAGTGCATTTTATATTCTTTAATGAAACGAAATTATGTTCCCTCGATCACTCCGTCTCTCCATTTGTTTTCACCTTTCCCCACCCCAAGGTTCATTTTTCATTCAACTGCTCCTCTTATCTACACTCATTTCCCTTTAGGGTTTGTGCAATCTAATAAGCTTTTATTGTGCATGAACTACATGCCAGATACTAGGCTAGGGACAAGAATCCAAAATGAATAAGACAGAGTCATCACCTGTGTGAGAAGAATACAGTCAAGTGAATGAAATGTAAAATAGATGAATGCCAAGGCAGACAACAGAAGGCATCACACTTCCCCCAAGCAAAAGAGAAAATATCAGAGACACATAGAAGCTTGAGAATTGATTCTGTATGACTTCTCTTTCTATAGCAATGAGGCTTATTTATTTCACCTGTGTTCACTGTGCACCCCCCGCCCCCCCAGCACATGCCAGGCCCCGTGCAGTGTGAGGGTGTTATTTCTCTCATCTTCTTGAGGGTGTGAGCTATCTATATCTCGGTGTGTATGGGTGTCACAATACTTACTTTGTAATACATGAACAACTGAAGAGACCTTCTGGAACATACAGGCAGGGCTGACAGCAAGCTGCTCTGCTGAATGTGACTATAGTCACTGCTCTCTTTGAACTACATTTTTTTTTTCTTTTTCACTCATGTTACTGCTTCTCCAGAGGATCATGCTGGCACATTTTTTCCCTTAGATTCTCACTGTTGCCAATCATCCATCATTACAAAGAGAGGCCTTAGAAACAGCACTCGGGGGAGACATTATTTCCTTTCCATTTCTCTCTCAGAAAGAGCAACTTATCATGGGAGGGGGGAAACTGCATTTCGGTCAAAGGAATATTTATAACAAGGAAGCATCTGCTGCTTCCTCCCTTTAAGATGCTAAGCTTCCAAAGACCTCTTGGTTTTAAAAAAGGCCATCACCCCTTGGCCCACTCTAAACATTAATATTATATGCCTGGTAATAAAGTCAGGATTTTTAACGAGAACCATTAAAGGGAAAGGATGGCCGAGGCAGATTTCTCTGGTGCATAAAAATCACAGGCTCATAAATAGAACCTGTGAGGTGAGTCTTGTGGTTAGCTAGTACTTTAAATTTGTGCTTCCCCCCATTATATGGGTTGACAGGGGAACTACTGACTTTTTCTCAGGCAAGGCTACAGGGCTCAGAATTATGACTTAAAATGAGAAAGTACCAGAATTTCTAAGTCAACCCAAAGCCCAGAGGCACTGGGTTAAAACATGCCTGGCCCATGAATGGCAGGCACAGGCATTGGGTGAGAAGGGCAAGCAGAGGCTATGCCACAAACAGACATGGCTTCTGCCATTTGAAACCACCCTATGTTATCTATTTCATTCATCAAACAAAACTGGCACTGACCACATGCAGTTTTCATCCACCTTCCCCTCATTTTTGTTGTTGTTGCCCAAGTCACCCAGCCCTGTCTGACTCTTTGCAACCCCATGGACTGCTGCATGCCAGGCCTACCTGTCCCTCACCATCACCTGGAGTTTGCCCAAGTTCATGTACGTTGCTGATGTCAAATGATGATTTAGCTAATGCTTCTTATTCGCCATAGGTTAACCATTTTACTGCTAATGGTGAGAGTAAAAAGTCTAAGTTTCTTTTTAATTGAGCTCTTTAGGGGCACCCAACCCAATTTTTTCCCTCAAATTAGGGCTCTGAGTACCTCCCAGTTTAAAAAGCTAAGAAAGTTCCCAGAGCCTATTTCCCAGTGAAATGCTGTGCAAATCTCCATGTGGTTACAAATGTAGCTGTAGTGAGGGCTCAGGCTTTGGTTTCGTTTTTCAAAATTGTTTGCACAGCAAGCATGAAGCTTCCTTATCTAACTTCTCACAAAATGTGAAGGTGCCTGCTCCCTGGCTGTGCCCCAGGAGCCGTGGTAACACCAGTCATAATTCTGTGGTTTTCTGAGTCGAGGACGTTATTTCTCCCTGATGAAGAAGTTTTGCCCATGTTGTATTCTCGCTCTCTCTCTCTAGTATGGTTTGACAATTTGAATTCAGAAAGAGGCTTCACAATTAGAAGAATGAGACCGAACTACAGCATCTGTGCACACAGCCCCCTCAGCTGCTCTAATTAGGGTTCCCTTATTCCGTTTCTAGCTCTCAGGAGAGGACACGGGACTTTTTAATTGGGGCTATTAGACGTTCTCTTTGAACAAGGACACCCTCTGCTAAGTGAAGGCTCCAGCAAAACCATGCCCACTCTGCAATTACTTCTTGCAATTCCAAGGAATAATGGTATCTTGTCTCATTTAAAAATAAACCTGAGGCTTATTCCTTATTGCTTTCTCTCCTCTGCCGACTCACATGAATTTCTTCTTGCCAACTTGCCATTATTTAAGGAGGTAGTTTTTATCATAACTGTCCCCTGATAATAAGACACATTAAACTGGATTTCATTTGCTCATGGCTACTTTCTTCCAGCTACAAGACTAATTTAAATGAGCTCAGATCACTTGATCTTGTGGCTATGGTTAAATGGTGACGCATTGGAACTTCATAGGCAGTGCTCTGTCTGGATATCACAGAACTCACCTGAAATAACCCGCACATTCAATGTTCGTAGTTTCTCAGAATCACTTTCTCGTAAGAGGACAGATGTAGGTTTGTATTTATGACCTATTCCAAGAAAAGATATTAAATATTTAGATGATAAGCAAGCATATTCTTAATATATATTCCCCATGTTGGTTCCAAGGATTACCAAGGAAAATGGGCCATTCATAGAAGAGCCTGGAGTAATAAGGCATTGAGATTTTTCTTATTGTTATTTTCCATTAACAAGTAGATACTTTCTAAAACCAACGGCTTCTCCACTGCCATAAATGCCATTGTGCATCTATTCTTATATGCAGAATATTATTTTTTATGTATAATAGATATGGTATACAGAATATTTGACATATATTTAATATTTAATGTCCTAAATGGCATGATAATTTTCACTACTTCATATGTTGGATTTGCAAGGCAAGCTTTTGAAAGCCAGTAATCCTGTCATTTAGGTAGATGTTCCTAAAAATATAATGTCACTCCCCACTATTGATCTCTTTCTAGACATTTTCTCTGTCTGGCTTCTATCTCTCTCTTTTCTAATATGTAAGTTGGCTTAACGCTCAACATTCAGAAAACTAAGATCATGGCATCCGGTCCCATCACTTCATGGCAAATAGATGGGGAAACAGTGGCTGACTTTATTTTTCTGGGCTCCAAAATCACTGCAGATGGTGATTGCAGCCATGAAATTAAAAGATGCTTACTCCTTGAAAGGAAAGTTATGACCAACCTAGACAGCATATTGAAAGCAGAGACATTACTTTGTCAACAAAGGTCCATCTAGTCAAGGCTATGGTTTTTCCAGTGCTCATGTACGGATGTGAGAGTTGGACTATCAAGAAAGCTGAGCGCAGAACTGATGCTTTTAAACTGTGGTGTTGGAGAAGACTCTTGAAAGTCCCTTGGACTGTAAGGAGATCCAACCAGTCCATCCTAAAGGAGATCAGTCCTGGGTGTTCAGTGCAAGGACTGATGTTGAAGCTGAAACTCCAATATTTTGGGCACCTGATGTGAAGAGCTGACTCACTGGAAAAGACCCTGATGCTGGGAAAGATTGAGGGCAGGAGGAGAAGGGGATGACAGAGATTGAGATGGTTGGATGGCATAACTGACTCAATAGACATGGGTTTGGGTGGACTCTGGGAGTTGGTGATGGACAGGGAGGCCTGGCATGCTGTGGTTCATGGGGTCGCAAAGAGTCAGACACGACTGAGTGACTGAACTGAACTGAACCATTCATAGAAAAATAGATCAAGAAACTCAAAACTATGCACTATTGCAAATGACACACCTTTATTTAAAATAATAAAAAATATTTTATTTAAAATAATAAAAACTAGAAAGACCCTGGGTCTTAATTCTAATTCTGTTATTTTATTACTGTATTACTTTGGACAGCACACTTAATCTCTCTGAGCCTCAGAGGTTTTTCTCATCTTTAAAATAAAAGAAATAGAACATGTCCTGTCTGTATACTTTGAGAATCTAGTTAAAAAAAAAAAAAAGCTCATGGGAATGCTCTGCAAATGTTTATTCTACAAATGAAGAATACTGATGATATTACTGACCTTATATTACTGATCAGTAATAATAATATGACCAAATATTATGTGTTTAGGACCTCATATACTAATGTACTGATAACAAGACGATATGAAACTGTCCTCAGAAATATCTCCAACAAACAACCAAAATAATGACACTTTCACTCAAACCTAGAGGCAACCATTTGCTCTGCCTACTAACATGGCCTTGCCTGGTAAGGAACACAAGAGTTTTGGGAAATACTACACTCAGCACAATACTACCATCCTTTATTGAGAACTACTTCTTATGTAATCTCTTTTAGTTCAATCATTACCTCAACCCTGTGTAAGAATGGTGATTAATCTCATTAAGAGGCGGAAAGGAACACTCAACCATGGTAAGTAATTTTCACAAAGTCACATATATAGTAAGTAGTAGCACTAGGATTCTAACCTAAGTACCTGTCTCCAAAGCCTAATCTTGTACTGATACATTTTATACTATCTTTAAGAGACCAACTACTCATCAGGTTTAATATTCAGCCAGTATGTACATGGGTATACACCACAGGACTGCAACAGTAATTGACAATGTCCGTTCTGATAAGTAGATGCCCTTGTCATACTTAATCAGTTGTTAATTCTTTTTAAATATCATCCCTACTATCCTTATTTCCAACTACACATCTTAGTGCTTCACAGTCAAAAATCTACTTTCTCCCCCACACTTATTATAGATTGACTCTTGCTCATGCTCATCACCTAGAGCCTAGAGTTCAAGACCTCCAATTCTGAAATCCTTTATCACCATTCCCTATTCTTCTTCCCCTCTTCTGCCTCACTTACACCAAGCTCTGCTCAATCTCCAGTCCACCAACTCCTTCCAATTAAACCAGCCTTTCCTCCTCATCCTAACCACCTGTCTGGGCTGGAGAAAAACCCAGGAAACTCCGTGAGTGCTGGCACTGGTCTTATCTATAATTATGTCCCTTGAGTTACCTAGAATCACCACTTAAACACACAGATGCCCAGTAAGTGGTAAATTGAACCAAAAAAAAAGAGAAATGGAATATACAGATAAAATTAGGGACTTCTGGACACTAGATAAATTATCCCAAATAATGAATTTTTCAGTACTTACTCTGCCACTTCTGCACTCTTCTGTGGCCTTCAAGTATTTTGTGGATAATGAAGATGAGCAAAACTATACAGACTAATAGAATTAGAACATACCAAGTGATCTTCATGGAACAGATAGAATCTGCAAAGAAAAATGTAGCAAAAATACAGTAAAATGGGATGCAGCAGATAAGAGGCATCATGGTGATACAGCTGGAATCTACAGTATATCCTGTCCACAACTGAGAAATTGAATACATAACCATCTCAGTCACAGGATCACCTGCTTTCCTGAGTTCTTTTCTAACATACTAAATTAAGAAACATGGCCAAGTGGTTTCCAGGGATCCGCTTATTGATAGTTTCAAAATTCTGGAATTAATTTCACTTCCAGGTTATTCGATGCTAGTTTTGCTGTCACGAGTTTGGAATCACAAGAAGAAGAATACCAGCATCAGAGCCACTTGTGTTTAACAATTTGACCCTGGGCCAAGCAGCCAAAAAAACAGGCCCTCAAATCAAAGATGCAATGAGTAAGATGAGGATCGGGAAGAAAGGGAAAGACAAAGAAAGAGGCTGGATTGAGGCATGTAAGAGGCCTGCTGCTGCTGCTGCTAAGTCACTTCAGTTGTGTCCGACTCTGTGTGACCCCATAGACGGCAGCCCACCAGGCTCCCCCGTCCCTGGGATTCTCCAGGCAAGAATACTGGAGTGGGTTGCCATTTCCTTCTCCAATGCATGAAAGTGAAAAGTGAAAGTGAAGTCGCTCAGTCGTGTCTGACTCTTAGCGACCCCATGGACTGCAGCCTACCAGGCTCCTCTGTCCATGGGATTTTCCAGGCAAGAGTACTGGAGTAGGGTGCCATTGCCTTCTCCGTAAGAGGCCTGAGTAGATGATTAAATCAGACCTTCTTTCCACAGGGGCTCACATGGCAATGATCAGATCAAGTGCAGGCATTAGTTACAAACGTAGTTATCTTTGCCCAGATTGAATAAGGACACAGGTAAAAAAAAAAAAAAAAAAAAAGGTTCATTCAAATGACAGTGAGGCAACAAGGAAGAAAAATCATCATCAGGGACAGCTTAGCAAGATCTCCTTTCATCCCATAAATACACACTGGCCAGTACACCCAGGAATCAGTAACTTAAAGGAGAGTGACTTTCTTATGTCCAAAACACCACTGTCTACTGACATTCTAAAACAACCTACGTACCCTCTTCCTTGCATGTAAATCACAGGGGGTACTCATTCACCTTAGCAGGATATATAACTTGTTTTTACCCTTGGGTGACTGTCCTGGGGCTCATGATCTGGGTATCCCTTTCACAGGCCCTTCCACTCCATGTGCGTTTGTCCATTAAATAGTCAACATTTATTTAAAGAAGAGGCTGAATGGAGAAGATAGTGGTTGACTGGGATGGCAGCACTCAGCCTCCCCAGTATCATTCCATGCTGTTTAGTAACCAGACTTGCATTCCTCACTCAGCAAAGTAAAAGCATGCAGTTAACTGGCATAAAAGATGTACAGTACCAGCAGGCCAAGGTGGGTCCAATACCAAGGTGTCACTGGGCAATGATCAGCTATGAGAAAAGAACTGTGCATTCACCAACATTATACTGCAATAGCAGAATGTACACAGTTGGGACCAAGCGAGCCAGTGTACCCACCAAAGTACCAGTGAGAACAGACGAGTGTGTCTGTCTACACTCCATGTGGCCCCCAGCCCCATCCCTGGAACCATCTTGGAGAGGACCGAGGGGAAATGGATAGGAATCTGAAAAAAATCTAGAGACAGATTAAATTATTGTTTCAGAGTAAATTTACCAGACTAAACTAAACTTAGCTTCCCCTGCCCACTGGCAGATAGGACTTCGAAAGGAGATCAAGTTAGTCTTTGTACAGCAGAATAAAACATAAATAAATTTCCACTCTTCTACACATGGCAAGATAGGTATACTTTTTCCCAAATACAAGACTACATAGTTGTATACCACTGATAACTTCCTGACTTATGTACCCAAAAAAGCTGTCAATTACACTTCATTTTGGAATTTATGAATTTTTCCATTAATACAAAAATTCTCAAAATAATATGGCAATGGTTATTTCTTTTTAATGTTTTAGAAAATATAAAAAGTAGATAGATACATAAGTGGACATTGAAATAAATATGTTTTAAATATCTGTCATCCAAACCTCTCTATATTTCAGATTTCATCATAGTCACCTTCTCTATATGGCCTTTTCAGAACCTCCACCCTAATTCCCCTACCATCTGTTCAGATTTTCTCAGATCCTCTCCCACCCTCCCTACACATACACTTTGAAATACCCCCTAAATGCAGAGGCTGTAGGGCTTCAGGCAAACTAATTCACAGGAGAAATTTATTTGAAGTTTTATATTTCACTTTAAAAATGCATATGTATCATATGTTTGTGTTTGCCTTAAGATAAATATAATATTTTTAATGGCCTCTAAAATGATTAAGGCCTTAAAAAAGCATTCTAAGGCAATTTGAAGCACTTCCATATATTTGGGACATCAGAAAACAGAATCAATTATTCTAACATAGCACCTGTTAACACCAATGACACTTACTTGGCCATTTACATGTATCCTCAGGACCTGGCACGCTGCTTGGCATACAGCAAGCCCTCATTAAATGGTTATATCATGAAATGCTCTTCAAGAGTAGAGTTTATGGATCAAGGGAGGGCACCTTGCTTAGTAGTAAGGATCAACTGTGACACTATGTATAAAATCACTAATAAGAACATAATATATGGCAAAGGGAACTTAATAAACTGTAGTGTCCTGAATGAAAAGGAATTCCAAATGAGAGGGAATATATGCATAGTTATAGCTGATTTGCTTTGTTGTATAGCAGATACTAACACAACATTGTAAAGCAACTATACCCCAATCAAAATTAATTTTAAAAAGAATCAATTGTGTTAATTCAGAATAGGGTGACTAGGAAGGTAATCAACCTTAAATAGAATTCATATATATGTGAGTTTTATCTTCCAAGCTCCTACTTTTCCCTCGGAGTCCTCCCGTGACTCAAAATGCTTAATCTATACCCCACCTATCTTCACAGGAGTCCATCAAAAATCCCTTTTTCTCAGATCTGTTTCTCAGCTCTAGGAGAGGACATGTTAAATTGATTCAAAATTTAATAGCATATCACAATGTACATGTTTATTTACATTTAAAAAGAAATCTCACCCTTTAATACACAAGCGTGATAGTATTACTTCAAACACAGCTAATAGGCACTCCCAGAATTTATCCTAGGGCAGAGGGTCTTTGTAATGTTCCTCAAATAACAACCCATAGATGCCTCCTTTGCCTCTGAGTACAGCTGTGCTCCACAAAAAAAAACATTTTAAAAGAAAAATAAACAGGTAAAAGGGCTAACATTCTTTCCAGCCTTGTTATTTCATCAACAAAATTCTTCAACTGTTCGACTTAAAGTGAAGCTTACACAGTAGCCCTTACTTAATTTTGTGTCTGTATTCTACTGTCCTTTTCCCTCTGATTTCCTTAAAAACTTACTTTTTGCATCCATTTCTAAATGGAAAGAAATGTTTATACAATTATGTGGGTGTTCCATAGTTCTACAAGTACGGTTTACAGATGTTGCCTCTGTTGGATCTTCCTCCTCGGTGGCTGACCTTCTAGTGTGGGTTTTTAGATTACAGGTAAGATTATATTCCTCCAGGTGGTCAACCATAGGAGTTACAGTGAAGTTAAAATGTTGACAAGGTGAGTGAAAATCATTTGACTTCACTTGCATTGATCCTCTCATGATAAGAGCTAGAAAGAGATTAAGAAAATGTTATTCACACACACAAAAACAGTAGTACAAGTAAGAAAACACATACAACTCAAAGCTAAAGCTCTTCCTAAACAATAAGAAAAGAGTAAAAACAAGAAGTTATCAGCCTAAAAGTAACAATTACGGTGCTTACATTTTTTTAAGAGTGTGAAAACCAGGTGAGTTTGAAATATACTTGGAGCCTCTCAAAGGAAAAAAAGAACATTTCCCTGATGACTTGTGGGACAGATTATATTTACCAAAATGGTCACAGCATTATTTCCCATCCCACATTATACTAGTTTGCTAGGGTTGTCATAACAAAGTACCATCAACTGGGTGACTTACACAACAGAAATGTATCATCTCACAGTTCTGGAAGCTACACTTTCAAGTGTTGACAAGGTTGCTTCCTTCTGAAGGCTGAGGAAAAATCTGTCCATGTTTCCCTTCTAGCTTCGGGTGGTTTGGTGGCAGCTTTCAGTATTCCTCGTCTTATAGAACATCACCCTGATTGCTCTCAAATTCCCCCCCGCCCAACTTTTTTTTTAATCAGGATGCCGGTCATATTGAATTAGGGCCCACCCTAATGACCTTATCCGTGGGTCTCCCTGGCAGCTCAGACAGTAAAGAATCTACCTGCACTGCAGGAGACACAGGTTTAATCCTTGGGTTGAGAAGAAACCTTAGAGAAGAGAATGGTTACCCACTCGAGTATTCTTGCCTGGAGAATTCCATGGACAGGGGAGCCTGGCAGGCTGCAGACCGTAGGGTGGTGATGAGTCAGACACGACTGAGCAACTAACACACTAAACTGAACTACTTCCATCTGCAACAACCCTATTTCCAAATAATGGCACGTTCTGAGATACTGGGGTTAGAACTCCAATAGAATTCAACCTGTAACACACATGTTAACCTAAAACTTTCCCACTCCACCACAAACAAATGAAGTCCAATACTTTTTCCCTTGAATCTCTGTGGAAGGATTTACCTGCTTATAACCAATCAAATGCAGAGAAAATTACATCTTATGATAAGGCCAGAAAATACAAAGCAATTTCTACCTTGTTTCTTGGATCCCTAATGGTGGAGCCTTGGGCCACTAAGTAACAATGACTTAAAGCCACCAGGCTGTGAAGAAGGCCAAGCTAGCCCAAATAGAAAGACCACATAGAAAAACTCCGAGACTGCATGAAGAGAGAGAAATGCCCAGCTTGCCTGTAGCTGCTCCAGCCCACTCCTGTGTTAGGTCCTGCTACTGTCTAACTCCAGCAGTGTGAAATGCTTCAAGCCAGAAATGCCCAGTTAGGCCCATTTTGAATTCCTGACCCAGAAAAAAAAAGAAAGAAAGGAAAGAAGAAAGAAAAAAGTTAAATGCTTGCTGTTGTTAGAGCCACTCAGTTTGGGGGTGATTGCTACACAGCCATAGTAACTAGAATAACTTATCAATGCACTGCTTTACTTTTCAAGGAGGCAGAGAAGTAGACTCTGTGAGCTTCCAATTTTTAAAACATTTCATTGTTCTCTGTCATGATGAAGGTATTTCCCCAATTTGCTTTCTGGTGAATTTGACCTAGAAGCTTGCAATCGTTACAGTACTACTTGAATGTGTGTATATGTGCTTAGTCGCTCAGTCATATCTGATTCTTTGGGACCCCATGGACTGTAGCCTGCCAGGCTCCTCTGTCCATTGGATTTCCCAGGCAAGAATACTGGAGTAGATTGCCATTTCCTTCTCCAGGGGATCTTCCCAACCCAGGGATCGAATCACTGTCTCCTGTGTCTCCTGCACTGTAGGCAGATTCTTAGAAAAAAGACTAACCTATTGTACTTTATCTCAAGTCAATGCCAAGAAATTTTGTTCCCATTTTCAAAGAATGGGAAAAATGCCAGTATGGTGGGACCCAGCAAGCAATCTCACTGAATAGGTATAAGCACTAAATTTGATGCTTGGGCTTGGGGCCACCAGTATATTTTATAGCTGTAAATTAATTATTTAATTTCTCAGTGATAATAAATGCAAGGTTTGATTAGATATTATGGATTATACATAGTTATTCTTTTATTTGTTTATTCATTCATTAAACAAATATCTTTTAAGTGCCTCAGCTCAGACATTAAATGTCATAGTGAACAAAGACAGGATTCCTGCCCTTGAGAGGCTCGGTGGATAGTTAAACACGTAAAAAGACAATTCGTATACAGTGGATGGATATTAGACAGGAGTAGGTACAAATGCATTGAGGATTCAGTGACTCCTTGGGGAGTCCAAGTATGATTTTATATGAGAACAAGATTCTACAAGTTTACTTAGAATTTTATCAGTACTTTTGAAGACAGCATGCTAAATAATCTTTTAGCCATCAAATGTACATCGATTATAACTGCATGTTGATTGTATTTTAAGAATGGATATTTTGTTTTTGATAAAGTAAACCAAGAACAAGTTACTGTCCCAAAGCCTGTAAGTCATTCATTGAGCACCACACAGCTGAGTGTTTCAGGGCCACAGGACTTAAAATTGGAATATATTGTTAATACTTTTTTTTCACATAATAAGGTTATTTATCCTTAATAAATTTTGTTCTCACTTTTCTTTCACATTTACCTTTTGATGTTTGTTCCTGAAAAATAAAATCAGTGTTTCCTTTGGACTCATAAGCCAAACATGAGAAGCACGTCTTGAGTTCACTTGTGATATCTTGGCAAATCCTGGTGAAGTTTTGAAAGCTGGAGTGATTTAGAAAGATTCCCGTAATAGTCTGAGTTTCTCCTATTGGTTGCAGAAAGGTCACAAAAGAAGCATTTGTAGAGAAGAATGAATAGCTGAAATTCTGTTGTAAATACACTTCCAGACATGATAGTTCCAACATGTTTCCTACAAAGAAAACAAATTTTGACTATGAAATTTTGAGGTTTTGGCATTCAGATAAATACCCAATATGCTCCTCAGTTATCTTAGGCACATCAGTACATTTCAGTTTATCAGCAGCAAGACTTTGTTTTCACATGAAACAATAATGTCTACTCCGTTAAAATATTTCTTATTAAAAATTTGTCAACATCCCCTATTAATTTTCAGAGAAGAGAAGTCTTTGTTGAGGAGTTCTTGGAAATCCTAGCATTTTAGCCATTTTTCTCCTCTAGGAAAGTTTTAATGGACAAACCTATTTCCCTCTGAATCCATCTGTTTCAAAATAGAGTCTCACGTGAATTGCATGGAGTTGAACAGGAAATGGAAAACTTGAACAGAATCTCTACTAGTTTCTGAAGGTTGCTGTAACAAATGAATACAATCTTGCTGGCTTAAAACAAGAGAAATGTATTCTTTTACAGATCTGAAGGTGAAAAGTTCAATGACAGTTATACTGGTCTAAAACTCAGATGTCCGCAGGACCACACTCCCTCTGAAGACCCTAAGAAAGAATCTGTTCTTGCACCTCTTCCAGTCTGGGGAGACTGCTGGCATTCCTTTGCTTGTGACCACAACACTTATCTCTGCTTTTATGGTCACATTGCCTTCTTCTCTAGATCTTCATCTTCTACTCCTCTGTCTGTATCAAATCTCCCTGTGCCCCTCTCTCATACAGAAACTTGAGGTTGGATTTAGATCCCACCTGGATATGGCAGGATAATCTCCCCATCTCAAGATCCTAAAATTAACCACATCTATAGAGACCTTTTTTATTTATAAGGTAACTTTTATAGGTTCCCAGGAATTGACACCTGATATCTTTGGGCAACCATTATTCAACCTACTTGAATCTCCAAAGATGAAATTTAATAGATGATATCATAATTTTTATATTTTATCTGCAGACAAGTATCAGATACAGAATAAATGGTCTAATAGAAAGAAGACTGATTTTAAAACAAAAGACAAAGACTCTAGTGCTATATCTGTTGTTAACTGAGATGCTTGAACAATTCACTTCATCTCCACAAGTCTCATTTTCTTATTAGCAAAACAGAGATAATAACCAAATCCTGCTCATCTTGTGGGGTTACAGTAGCATCAAATGATATGTTATTTGTTATTAAATATATGTTATTAAAATACAAGTCCATATCCCAAAGTAAAAATTTTAAATTTATCCTTTATTTATGATGGATTAAAATTTAATTAAAGTAATTAAATTTAAATTTAATTAAATTTAAAGTAATTAAAGCTCACCATGTAAGAATTGGGAATCCCTACATAGCAGTAATGATGAACAAAGAATAGGTAACCTCTCTTTCAGATAGTCTCAGTTTGACAGCTATTTACTAGGATGAGAAAATACTAATAACTGACATGCTCAATTCCATCTTTATGTGTCTTTCTTTACCATTTCTCATAATCATATGGGGCAAAATACATTTTTAAAATTTTCTAAATAATATGGAACACAATGAAAGAATTGCTTCATTTTTAAGAGTGATCACTCCTAGTCATACATCCTGATTCAAACTTAAAAGAAATTGAAACTATTGATTGATATTAAGGCACATATTTTTACTTGTGGAATTTATACTTTGATCATAATTTCATAATTGTTTCATTACTGATGGTTATATTTTGATGATTTAATAAAGGCTCATTTACCAGCCCTCCGTGTTTGAAATTGTTTCTGTAATATTTCACAGGTAATTTCCAGCTTTAAACACATTTCATACTTGAGTTGCTATAAAAGTTTTGGGAGGTAGAGATTGTACTTTACTCAAATATGCAGTTTGGTTATGTTTCAATATATTTGTAAACAAAGCTATAAACAAATTAATAACTAATTTTTTAAAAAACTGTCTTCAATATCAGTTTCCCAGTAAGATGATAGGAATTCACTATCTGATGCAAATCAGTAGTTTATGGTTTTTCTGTATTACTTAAACACATCAAAAACTTATTTCTTGCCATCTTTCCATTTTCCTCATTGATATTTTTCATCTTATGAAATTTTCAACTTCTTGAACTTATATTCTTATAACTTAGAAAGGAGATAGAGAAATTTTTACTGTCAATATTGCAGTCTTCTTATCCAATAAATGACAAACTGGGCTTTCTAGAATTGATGGTATATCCTTTATATTTGGCTATGAGGTCATTTTATGATGGATTCCTAATCTTAGTTTTAAATAATTCAACTAGGAAAGAAATAAATACTGGATATATCCTTCCCCAGTATAATTTTAAGAAATAAATGATTTCTACTCAATCATTTTTGTTATTAGGTAGGTCATAATCTTATCTTCATAAACAAGGATTTATGAATTTAACTACAGCTATTAATATTGCTGTGAGTCAGACATCTAAATTCTCACTTCCAGAGATAGAAAAATGCATACCAGAATTACTCTAGTACTAAGAGTGCAATCTCTCAAGGTAATGATATAGAATACTAAGTAGAATTAGGAAAATAAGTTACAGTATAGGACAAAGGCCAAGTCAATTATTGTTTCTTTTTAAAGAAAAGCAAAGAAAACATAAACTATCTTTTCCTTTTTGAACTTTTATTAAAAATATCATATGTAAATATATATTAATATAAAATATATTGCTCCAGTTAAAGAATAATAAAAATAAATGAACATCCATGTATCTATTACACAGATTAAGAAGCAGAACATTAGCAACATCTCTGAAGTACCCTTTCCCACCCCTACACACTCCTTCTTTTCCAGAGTTTTAACACCATCATGAAAATGTGTTTATCATTCCTTTGCTTCATCTTAGAGTCCAAAATGTATATATTCCTAAATAATATTGTTTCATTAGCAAATTATATACACATATAGGGACTATAGGTATTCACCTATGACTCACTTTTTTTGCTTAATGTGTTTTAGTAGTGTTGCTGCATATTGCGGTACTAATTATTTGTGGTATCTTTGAAAGAATATACTACAATTTATGTATGTATTCTTCTGACGGAGTATTCGGGGTGTTTCTATTTTTGTTGTTCTGGATAACATTGCTTTGAACCATAACTCTCTCGTGTTGTTGGTAGGAATGAAAAATAGTACAATCACTTTGGAAGATATTTTTATGTTCTTTAAGTTAACCATACACTTAGCACATGACCCAATAATTCTACTCCTAGGAATCTACAAGAGAGAAACAAAAACATATGTCCACACAAACGCCTGTATATGAAGCTTCATGGCACTCGTAAAATTTATAATGGCCAAGAACTGGGAACAACCCCAAAGACCAACAACTCATGAATATATAAATAATTCCTGACATACCCACATAATGAAATACTGCTCAGCAACAAAAAGGAAGAATATACTGATGTGAACAACAACACTGAAGAATCTCAAATGCTTTATGCCAAGGGAAAACAGCCAGACAGAACTGACTACATACTAATGTGATTCCATTTATTCGCAATTCTAGAAAATAGTATTGATAGTGGGAGAAGGGTTCTCTTACAAAGGAGAATGAGGGACATCTTGGAGATGTTGGTAAGGTTTATGCCTTAATTGTGGTGGTAGTTACACTGCTGTAAAAATTTGTCAAACCTCAACTTTACACTTAAAAGTGGCACATTTTATCATATGTAAATTGTACCTCAATTAAGTTTATTTTTAAATAACACTCCTATGAACATTCATGAACACATCTCCTAGTACGCGGTTACAGAAGTTTCTCTATCATACACACTGAATGGATTGCCAGGTATTCAGTGTGGTCATCTTTGATTTTACTAGAAAATGCCAAATCGTTATACAAAGAAGTTGTACCAATTTATCCTCCCACCTGCAGTGTATAAAGGTTCTCACTGACACATAACTTGGCCAGAGCCTTTCAAGTTTTGACAATTTGGTGAATGTTAAATGGAATCTTATCATGGTTTAAAAGTTCCTACTTTTTCTATTTTTCTAGTAGGTTGTTTTTCATTTTCTTATTAATGTTTACGAGTTTTTAAACTTTGAAATTTTAAGTTATTTACATTTTTATCGAGATATCTTCTCATCATTTGTACCTTGTTTGTTTTATGATATTTTAGTTAAAAGAAGCTCTTAATTTGAGTGTTTTAAATTTATCATTTTCTTTACAATTTGTGCTTTGCATCTTGTTTAAGAAATCTTTCTCTTTTAAAAAGATTTTCATCCACATTTTCATCTGAAAGTTTTGAAGTTTTGCCTTTTGCGTGTAAGTTCTTGATCTATCTAGAATTAAGACAGTATGAAGTAAGAAACCAAATTAATATTTTCCACATGTGATAATCAATTGTACTAGCAATTATTAAGTAGTCTACCTTTTCCCCACTATCTGTAATGACATCTCTATAATCTATCAAATATCCATGTACATATGTAGGACTGTATTTCCGGGTTCCAAATTTTGTTTTTCATATCTTGGCAAAGACACATGAAGGACTTAATTACTTTTGCTTTATGACGTTTTTATGTGCGCTGTGCTGAGTCCCTTCAGTTGTGTCCGACTCTTTGCCCCCCCGTGGACTGTAGCCCACCAGGCTCCTCTGTCCATGGGGATTCTCCAGGCAAGAATACTGGAAGTGGGTTGCCATCCCTTCTCCAGGGGATCTTCCTGACCGAGGGATGGAATCCAGGTCTCCCACATTGCAGGTGGATTCTTTACCGCCTGAGCCACCAGGGAAGTCTTTATATCTCATAGGAGAAATCCCCTAACCTTGTTCATTTTCTTTGGGAATGTCTTAGTGATTCTTGATCCTTTGTTCTTTCCAATAAATTTTAGAATCAGCTTATTAAGTTGGGTGAAAAACCCAGTTGTGACTCTGACTTGAATCTCAAAATCAATTGGAGAAGAAAAATATGATATTGAGTTACTCCTATCACTCTTTTCTTCCTTTCTTACTCTCTACTTTATAGGTCTTCTTTGAAATCTTCTAATAAAGTTTCCAAATTTTCACC